CTCCTGTAATTGGAATAAGTGGAGATAAGCGTGTTGTAACGCACCAAGCTGTTGCACGAGTGAAGTCAATGCAGCAGGATTCATCCTGGGCTCTCGAATTTCTGGTGGTTAAACAAGTTACTGGTTGCCTACCCTCTCGGAAGTTTGACGTTTCCCAGTGGCATATTTCTTCGGAAGTGTGTCTCGCAGATCCAAGATTCAACGTTCCAGCAAGGGTGGATATGCTCATAGGAGCTGAACTGTTTTTCGAGCTGCTGCTGACGGAGCGTCTGAAGGTCAAGGATTGTCAAGCTGTGCTGTGGAACACCAAGCTAGGATGGATCGTGAGCGGTGCATTTACGAGCATTCAGCGTACAGTAGCGGTATCCAATATAGCTCGCCTGGAATCATCGGAGTCGAACCTGGAAAAGTTGGTGCAGCGATTTTGGGATCAGGAGGAAGTCATGGAATCAGCGCAAGGCAACATGGAAGATCAGCAATGTTTGGAGCATTTCGCCAAGACCCACCGACGTGAAGAAGGCCGTTTCGTAGTGCGACTACCTTTTCGGGACAACTTGGATCAGCTTGGAGAATCACGTGCCATGGCGGAAAGGCGGTTCTATCAGTTAGAGAAGAAGCTGAACTTGAACGCCGACCTCAAGCAGCAGTATTCCGCCTTTATACGCGAGTATATAAGTTTGGGACACTGCGTCAAAGTCGAAGACATCGGTAGCACTGGATTCTACATACCACATCATGCTATCGTGAAGCCCTCGAGTTCGACAACCAAATTGCGTGTAGTCTTCGATGCGTCGGCACGATCGGATACCAACGTCTCTTTGAACGACGTGCTGATGATCGGACCTACGATTCAAGATACCATAGCAGCGATAGTGCTACGTTCCCGGAAGTACAAGTTTCTGTTCTCTGCGGACGTGATCAAGATGTTTCGGCAGGTGCGGATGGATGATAGAGATACGTGCTATTTGAAGGTGTTGTATCGAGAAGATCCACAGGCAAAGCTGGATGTTTTCGAGTTGAAGACCGTGACATACGGCACGTCATGTGCACCGTTCTGTGCGACCGCTTGCCTGAGGCAGCTCGCCATAGACGAAGAAGAGGAGTTCCCGCTTGGAGCCCGAGTGGCGAAAAAGGATTTTTATATGGACGACGTAATAACCGGAGCAGACAGTCTTGAAGAAGCATTGGAGTGCCAGTCGCAGCTCATTGCACTACTGCAACGGGGAGGCTTTGAGCTCCACAAGTGGTGCGCAAATGCTCCTGAACTGCTGCAACGTATTCCGGAGAAGCACAGGGAGCAGCAAGTAAGAATTGAAGACCAAGAGTTCAACGATGTAATAAAGACCCTGGGACTCCTGTGGGATCCGTCGGCTGACGTGTTCCTCTTTCGGATGCAGAGCAACAGTGAATCTCCAGAAAACTACACGAAGCGGATCGTACTGTCAGATACTGCGAAGATATTTGACCCCCTTGGTCTACTGGAGCCGGTCACGGTATTAGCGAAGCTTTTCATTCAGCAGCTGTGGTCGTTGGAGTTGAATTGGGATGATCCCCTTCCTACTGAGCTAGAGGCAGCATGGAGGCGGTTCAAGGATCAACTGCAGCAAATCAACGAGATCAGAGTCCCACGCAGAATAGTAGCAGCTGATGCCGAATCGTTCGAGGTGCACGGGTTCTCGGATGCTAGTAAGAAGGCTTATGGAGCTTGTGTGTACTTGCGGAGCTTGAAAAGCGGCGGTACCTCTGAAATCCATCTACTCAGCAGCAAGACTCGTGTAACCCCATTGCCTACTAAACCTGGGAGCAAAAAAGCAAGAAGGCCCTATACTGCACCAAGAGCTGAGCTATGCGGCGCCCTCCTGTTGTCACGGCTTGTGACGAGTGTGTTGAAGGCTATCGATATGGAGGTCGATAAGGTAGTTTTGTGGTGTGACTCCCAAATCGTCTTGTGTTGGCTCAATAAGTCGCATGCCAGTCTGGAAGTCTTCGTAGGCAGCAGAGTTCGAGAGATTAATCAATTGACGCATGAGTACGAGTGGCGCTACGTCAGCACGAACCACAATCCCGCTGATTTGGCTTCCCGAGGAGTTACACCATCGGATCTACAGCATTCGAACCTCTGGTGGAACGGTCCTGTGATGCTCCAGCGGAATGAAGATTGTTACGTGCCTCCCGAACCACCCACATTCAGCCACGAGGAACTGGAGTTGAAGAGTCCCATTTATTGCGAAGTAGTCGTCTGCACTGAACCGTACGAGCTGCTAACAAGGTACAGCAGCTTCAGAAAACTGCAGAGAGTTGTTGCCTACCTGTACCGATTCGCAAACAACTGCCGGATGAAGGAGAAGGTCCAACGAACAACTGGGCCTCTTAAGGTGTCTGAACTGCGAAGTGCTACGTCGAAGATCATCTGGAAGATACAGCGGGAAGAGTTTGCCGATGAACTAAGCATGCTGCAGAATAACAAGACAAAGAAGAGTAAGCTGCTACAATTAGCACCGTTTCTTGACACCGACGGTTTGCTGAGAGTTGGTGGTCGACTGAAGCATGCAAAGGTTCCGTTTCAACGAAAACATCAGCTACTGCTTCCATCCGGTCATCATGTCACGAGAATACTGATTGAGTCGCTGCATAAGGAACATTTGCACGTGGGACAGCAAGGACTGCTCGCCATCGTTCGGCACCGTTACTGGCCGATTAGAGGTAAGAACGTTGTGCGTCAAGTTGTGAAGAGGTGTGTGCGATGTTTCAGGATGAAGCCTCCAGAAATTCAGCAGTTCATGGGAAACTTGCCGGATTACCGTGTTACGCCCGCTCCGGCATTTGCTAGAACCGGAATTGATTATGCAGGTCCCATTTACATCAAGCAAGGTCGTCGCCAGAGTCGCGTGAAGGCATATGTCGCGCTCTTCGTTTGTATGTGCACAAAAGCCGTACATTTGGAGGTGGCCTCTGACCTTACAACAGAAGCATTTCTGGCTGTCTTGCAGCGGTTTGTCGGCAGGAGAGGTACACTCGAGCAGCTTCATTCGGATAACGCTACAAATTTCCGTGGAGCCAAGTCCGAGTTGGGAGAGCTGTACGAACTTTTTAAAGCGCAGCAGACTACCATGAAAATCAACCAATTCTGTGAGGTGAAAGAGATACAGTGGTCTTTCATTCCGCCCCGCTCTCCGAACTTCGGCGGGATCTGGGAGGCTGGAGTGAAGGCAGCCAAATCATTACTGAAGAAGGTGCTATGCGAAACATCGTTGACGTACGAAGAGTTAACAACAGTGGTCGTACAGATTGAGGCCATACTCAATTCGCGGCCGATGACTCAGTTGACGAGCGATCCGAATGATTTGACTGCATTGACCCCAGCTCACTTTTTGGTGGGCCGCGAGCTCACTGCGCCTCCTGAACCGAGCTATGATGAAGTTAGAGTTTCGTCGCTATCCCGTTGGCAATATCTCCGAAGGCAGAAGCAGGTGTTTTGGGCGAGATGGTCATCGGAATACCTCAATGAACTTCAGCCTAGAGGTAAATGGTACAAGGAGAAGTTGATCATCAAACCGGGAATGCTGGTGGTCTTGCGAGAGGAGAACATGGCACCGCAGCAATGGCGAATGGGTCGGATTGTGCAGACTCACCCCGGCTCAGACAACATCGTTCGAGTAGTCAGCATACAGACAGCAAACGGCGAAGTGAAGAGAGCGATTGGAAGGATCGCCGTTTTGCCTATTGAAGACAGCTCCATCTAGGGGTTTGGTTGGACACTGCGTGCCAACTGGGGGGAAGATGTTGATAATAATAATCGATAATTTGCGCAGAAGCGCCCATTGCTCTAAATATGATATCGCCCAATGCACAATGAATAAAAGGGAGTCGAGTTGTTGTGAACGAGAAAAACAAACGTGCTTTTTATTAGCCCTAGTTTCACTCCCGAATTCCCGAGTATTGTAGACACGTATATATAGAAGCAGTCAATTTCGTGCAAATTTATCGGGTAGATATAAATTACACGTGTTATAATATCTGCTCATACAATTTGCAAATTATTGATCATTATGAGATAGAAATTAGTGTTTAATTCAGAGGAAACATGTCAGAAGGGTCTAACTCGAAACGTAAATAATGACTTGGATCGTCAGTTTCTTACGAATGACAACACACCTACTCAAACTAACTAAATCATCTGACAGAGCAATGTTTGTTCTATGAGCTGGTTTAGTCAGATTTCGTGGGTGTGTGGTCATTCAAGAGAAATCGACGTTCAAAGTCATTGTTTATGTTTCGAGTTATACCCTTCTGACATGTTTCCCCTGAATTTCTGACAAAATATTAACAACTGCTAGCAGACTCAAAATCCAGATGCCACCCAGAACCTATAAAAATAGAAAAAGGCACAGTTAGCTACATTGTATAATCATAAATACAAATTAATGTAAAAGAATCAAATTAACGTCCAATATTTGCAACAAGCTGCTGTGAAATTTTAAATCTTTAAGGAGTTCTTCCACTCCCACTCCGAGCGGGTGACGCTTTTGTATTTTTTTTGCATACCTTAAAATCACGTAAATAATCTCGTTTCGCGGAAATATTGAAGTCCCAAACACACTAACACAAATACACTAAATCTGTTTACGTGAATATACGGTCGACTTTACAAACATTTTTAGTGAACATGACGTGTAATACAGGTCAAAGATTTTTTAGAGTTTAAGTGTGCCAGTTTTTTGGTGCTATACCCTAATAAACAAATACAATAAACGAACGATAACCCTGAGGGTTGAACTATCCCACAAATGATTTGGACGAAACCCCGAATACGTCGTTAAGCTCTTCCTTATGGTTATTTTTTTTATTGGGGTAATGCCCGTGCAATTGACAGTCATTTTATTTGCGTAGATATTAGGTACCTACATACCAAGCAAAATATTTGCTAAAGTGTTAAATAATGCTGTTATTCCCACTTACTTTCGCCTCAGTGTAATATTTCATTTTCTTGCTCTCCTTAGGTATGGTGGTATTGTCCAGAACTTGATCAAGTTTCCCGCGGTGTTCAAGCTTAGTTCAGCACTGATCAAACGCACCCAGGCATTCTGGTTCCTGGATCACGGGCACATCGATGTAAGTATTTAGGCACTTGAAGAGTATTCTATGATAATGATCATATGGTGCTTCCCATTTCAGGGCGCTATCGAAGAACTGCTATCACCAATGTCCCAAAGCGAGCAGTTTCCTCACTGGCAGCGGGAATTTCTCATTTCTACCTTATTGCGGTACGATGCAGCACATTTGGCGCTTCGGGCTCTTCGTGTACCTGGAATGCCGATATCTCCCTTTCTTGAGCTGAAAACATTACTAGAGAACAATCTTATTTCGGAAGCTTTCAAGTTACAACGCTCGAAGCATGATAGAAACTTGCTCAGGTGCTTTTTCGAAGGGACACTGAAATCTGCAAAATACGAAGTGCTGCTAGATCTGGCCATGTCGGAAGACGAAACACGGACATTGAGGGAGTATTTGACAACGACTCAACAGGCAATGGCCGACAATGTACATTTCATACATCTGCTACAAAAGTTGGATTTCGTTGAAGCGGTGCATATGGTAGATAGATTGGGAAGGAAACGTACCTCTGAATACAACTTGGAAGCACCGAAAGAAGCACTCACTCTATACCATGCAGCATTGGAACCAACGACGCAGCATTTATCTTATTTGGCATACGCAGAGCAAAAAGATCTGAAACCATCGAAATCCTCATACGCCGAACCGCTTAGCTCGCGATTGATTCGAAGCCGGGCTGATTTTCGCAATCGCATCTACCATAAATCGATTCTAGCGATCAAAGAAGCAGCAGCACCATTGGACCATGTTCAACCTTTCCTCGAAAAACCTGGCCTGGGTATGTTCCAGTTTCATACCCAAACCAAAAGTAGTAATGTGTGTTATCCAATTAAGCTTGTTGCAAAGGTTTCCAAAAGAAAGCTGGATGATGATCTCACCGGAACCAAAGATAAGGGAGCAGACATCTTCATTGATTACGAAAAACCTACCAAGCGTAGGAAGATTGAATCTGAAAATCCGTACTCGTTTGTAGCTCCTAAAAGTGTGCTCACAGAGTTTAGACCCATGAAACCATGGTTCAAATTCAGTAGCCGCAACTCCGAATGTAGTTCAGGTAAATCGTTTAGTCGTTCCCCATCAGCTCAACTTTCGACTCCAGTGGTAAAGAAGATGGCCAATTACAATCCACCATCACCGGAAAGTGTAAGTTCATACACACCGCATGGTATTCTCAAATCAACGGCTTCGGTTCAAAGCTTCTTTAATCGGAAAAGCATTTCTCCTACGCCGATAAGTTTGCCAGTGCACCGAGTTAGTGATGGAGAAGAGAAGATTCTTAGATTTGACCTTCCTGAGTCACCACAAGCAGAGAAAGCAGAACCAAGTTTCGTTACGGCATCCGCACAGCATGAGCTTCAAAATGAGTCCATGGTGTCGAATGATGAGTTTTTCTCACCCGAGGCATCAGTTGCTACTCTGGACGATGAGGACATGAAGAATATTTTTTCCTCTGGACCGAAAGGCCGTCGATCAATCCATAGCCGTTCGCGATCGGCAAGTCCTGTCGAAAACAACATCGCCATTATCATTGAAGATGTCGACGATGATTCTTCCAGCAAACAAGCCGGAAGTCAGTTGGAAGAATCCATGGATTTTGGTGAGATGGTTTCAGACGAAGCTTCCACACCAACAATGCCGATTCTGACTGGACCGAGTGCTGGGAAATCATTGGAGCGGTTGGTATTAGAGGCAAATATTCGCAAAGCACTTGTTGCTGATATGGCAGCTGCGATGTCGGAAGCTGAAGCGAAAACGGTTGAAGAAGATACTAATGTAGCCGATGATCAACAGAATATTCTTTCTGCTGGACCCCAAAGTCGAAGGTCAGTTCATAGTTATTCGCGATCGGTGACTCCTGACGAAAACAGCATCGCCATAATCATTGAAGACGTCGACGATGATTCTTCCGCCAAGCAGGTGGAAAGTCAGTTGGTCTTACCAATGGAATTCGGTGATACACTTTCAGACGAACATCGTATGCAAGCGTTGCCATCGAAATTGAGTGAATCGATTGCCGGGAAATCATTAGAGCGGTTAGAATTGGAGGCCAACACTCGTAAAGCGGTTGTTGCTGAAATAGCAGCTGATGTTGCGGAATCAGAAATTGCTGACATAGATTCGTTGTTACCTGAGAACGACGACGGACGCCAAGACGAACCGGCCTTAGTGATATGCGGTACTGCAGAATCAGAGGAAGTATATTTTCTCGAAGTGGGGCAGGGTACCGCTACTGAAGGATTGTATACTGATAGTAAAGTTACCTATGGATCCGTTAGTGATCCGGCAATCATATTAGATGAAGATGATGATGACGTGGAGGAGATGCGTGCAGAATCCGAGGACTCGAATCCGGAGTAAGTATGATGATCTATTTTCATTGCATTAGTCCTGTTTATAACAATTAGAGACTTAAGAAGGGTTTTTGGTTGTTTTAAGATTTTTGAAAAAGGTATTCCCCCCCCCCCCTCCGCCACCACTGGCAAAAAGAGATGATCACCGACACGCTAAAATACCAACGATGTGTTTGAAACAGTTCTACCGATTTTTACCGTACTCCAGTTGTTATTTGAAGGAAGGCATCCAGTCGTAGGTTTGTAAATTGCAGCTATTGTTACCTCTACCACGGTATGTGCTCCTGTCATCGTCGACTTGACGATCTCGAGGGGACACGGGTAGGGTAGGTGCTGCTACTGTACCTTTCGACCAATGACAGTAATTGATGGTATGCTCCCATCCAGAGTTATGTACTTTGACTATCCTTCTCCAACGGGGGAGTTTGGTAAAGAGAGATGATCAAACCGATTTGTACCTTCCTACAGTTGTCTTTGCTCGCTTTCTACTCTCTATATGCAATTTTCACACTGCCGTACTCTGACGGAACTATCAATTCTATACTTTCATCTCCTCATCTATCGTATAAAAATTACCACTTTAGTCTGTTATTTGAAATTAGCATCTTCAACTATGTAAATCGTTGACTTCACGCAGAAGTAATACTAAACATATAGTCAAAGTGTACAATATTGTTTGTTTGTGTTTGAAAATCCCCGAACGATTGATGATCGTATGTCGAATGGGTTCAGCCCATTTACTGAGTACGTTACTCATTTTAATCGAATCGCGGTACGCCACAATAATGAAAAAGATGTCATTGACAAATAGAATAAATGAAAGGTGTCCTAAATGTGAGCCTTGAGGAACTCCCGACCGTCAACCAGGTAAACCGGGGAAAAGTCGAGATTTTATTTTCACCAGGAAAAACCGGGAAAAAACTCGGGAATTCGAATAAATCCACCAAAAAATTAATCTCGTTGCAATAAGTTCTGAATTCACATAGGTGGCACGACATGTTCTAATAAATCACATATAATAGTTTATAAATTTAAGCAGATCAAAACTAATAATTTCGAATTTGCTTCCATTACACATTGGTATTGATTTGGAGATAAGAATTGTATTTTCTTAAACAATAAAATTAATGCAAATGGTTCAGATGAACCTCATTTGCTGATTTTATGCATATCGTGCAGTCTTCAATCTATAATTTTCCAGTTCGCACTAGTTGAGAATGTTTTTCATATTCCTTCAGTTTCTCGCCAGTTTCGTTCTACTACTGTCAGCTCCGAGTCAAGGGGATCTGCTTGGTAGAATTAACACTTGTTCAGCTATTTTGCTGCTAGTCCGAGTTAATGAATTAATCCATAATTGCATTCAATCAAAATATATTAAAATGCGTCTTTTGCAACCACGTCGTTTTAGATACATAGATCAGTGCTATTAATTTTCATATCATTCGATTGAAGATCAACCAATACAACCATTCAATCAATTCTGTGAAAACGAATGCTCACATGCCCATCATTTGAAGAGCTCCTTTCTCATTCGAACCACAGTCACTAATCACTCATAAGCATAGATGTTATAATTATGCGTAAATAAGGAAGTTGATAATTCTTTGTCACACGCAAGCTTGCAGCTAAAATTTAAATAATATAAACTGTCTGAAAAATAATGGAATTTTAAAATGGAAATTTTCTTGCCATCCTGCCTATCGCATGTTCACTTTTCAAAAATGCTGATTGTGATTCTCTGAGAGTGAAATTGAAAGGTTTTACGTGTCAAACACATGCTTTACAACTTGTTCTTATAACTTTGACCTTCCTATAATATGACCTATTGAAATGTTCATCTAGGGTTTCAGAATCTACATACCTAAAGGAGTTACAATTTACAAAATATTACAGATCACATACCGAGGAAGACTTGGATCTTGCTGTAGAGGAAGCATTCGTTGAAGAAGATAACATAGAAATCGAATCAGACGTCGAAGAAGTTCTCGAAGACGATGTCGACAACAGTGAAGCATCCGATAGCTCAGCCATTGACGAAGTTATCAATATATCAAGTGGGTCTGAAAGTAAGAACGATGCAAGTGACAGTGATGATGAATCATCGTCGTCATCATCGTCATCATCCTCGGATGACAAAGGAGATCCAACAGAGAAAAAGTCTGCCGTCGAACGAACTTACTCTGATACGGAACCAGCCAGCAATAACAGGCAATATGCCGATTTCTATTCAGATACTGTTCCAGAACTTTTAATGAATCAGGGTAAGGCTGAAGCTGAACCTGAAACTAAAAATGAAGAGTCATGTGATGTACAAGTTTCAACAACCACTTCATCTACATTGCACATTGGCAGTGCTTCCGGTGTGCGAGAACAACAACCGCAAGCCGAAGCGTCTATTCGTAATAGCAATAATGAGGAAAACGATAACAGTAAAGGTCACCAAGCCGAAGATTTATCTTTGCAACAAGAAGAAATAGTTGATGAAGGCGAAGCTCGTGAACAAACACCAGAAAGTTCGGTGAGTCGAGCAAGGGATCTATCTGTAACAGGAAACGAACGCCAAGAACCAGTGCCCTTGAGTGCCGAAATCAAACTGGTTTCGCCCACAAGAGAGGAATCGTTCAAGCACACCACTAGTGAAGATAAGTTCCTCGGACCACCGAAAAAAGCCCATGAAGTCGATGTCCCTGCTATGAATCTTTCCGTGAAGCCTGATGTAGCACATGAAGCGAACAGAAAGAATAGTAAAAGCGACGAGAGTGATGACTCTGCTGCACTTAATTTATCCACCGGGCAGATTATCGAAAGACCCCAAGTAGATGAAGAGATATCGGAATCAGAGACGGCAGATGTTGAAGAGCAGGCTCAACTGAAAGCAGAGACAAGTGGCCTATCACAGAAACAACTGGAAGCTAATGTTGACGACCCCATGGAGGGTACCAGTTCCCGAGTAATCCAGCTAAAGTCCTCAGAGGTCAGTAGTGAGCAAGATGACACACAGGAAATGTCCAGTGTAATAGGAACACCCGATAAGCAGGCCAATTCAAAGGAGAAGACAAGTGAAACACCAGCATCTAGCGAACTCCCTTCAAAAGTGTCATCAAAATCTCCGGATAGTGAAGTGAACACAGCATCAAGAAGAACGAGGAAAATGTCAACAGGAAGTGTGGATACTTCGACTCCCAGAAGCTCTATCAAGACTAGACGAATGTCTGCCATAGAACAACTTGAACAGACGCCAACAAAGCGTGCTACTAGAGCATCTTCGCTGGCTCCTGAGGGTAGGTCTCCGGAAACTGTATCCGTAAAAAGTAATAAACATTCCTCGATGACAAACCTTTCCACACCTGACAATTCGGCGACACCTAGACGGTCGACAAGAGCGTCATCTTTAGCCAAGGAAGTACTAACGAAAACTCCCTCGCGGAAAAAACGTTGCACATCGGAAACATCTACGGATGTAATGGGATCTAAAAACGTATCACCCGAAGAGGCAAACGATAGCATCGTTGACGATAACAAATCAGAAGTTTCTAATGCCAGCACCAGCAGCCGTCGAAGTACTCGCCGCTTAACAGCAGCCAGAAAATTACCTCTCCAATCGACTATATCAGAAGAGTCCACAGAAGGCGCTTCTCCGAAACAATTGAAATCCTCATCGTCAAAGGTCGCGGAGGAATCATTTGCAGAGTACACTACAAACCGTCGGCTCACTCGCCATCAATCGGCAATAATAGAAAAATCACTAGATATCGTTCGTAAACTAAATACATCGTCCGAAGACGCTGCTAGTCCGTCAATGTCACATGAAGAGGCAGATAGTGAGTCGGAATCCGTAGTGTCCAACATTAGCAACGTATCGAAAAGATCAACGCGTTCGAAGACTAGCCAACGATCCACGGGAAAACCTTCAAGTCTCCGGGACAAAGCTAAACCGGCAGCTAGTGCTAGTGGACGGTCCACGAGATCGTCTGCCTCGAAGCGGGACAACAGCGACGCCGAGAGTGTTGACACAGATGCAGCAGATAGTCCAACGAAGAAAGGCAAGCTGGAAACGATCACTGAGGAAGAAGGTGAGTTGTATATACCTTTTAAAAATCGTCTTTTAGTTACATTTTTTCTTCCACCAGATGAATCACTTACAAAAGGTCGACGTCGTGGAAGACGTAGAAACGTTTAGCGTTCGTATTAAGTAGGATAACAGCTTACCATAGCATTTCTACCGGTGTAGGTATGTAAATCCGTGCAGATTAGATCTTTTCTTCTTAGAAGTAACGCATTTTCTTTGTGGTATTCATTGTATCTGTCGTAGATTAATAAATGCGTTTATTTCAATTGATTGTCGTTTGCAATTGAAAGAAAAGCCTTATGCGTCGGTAAGAGATAAACTTTAATCAGCACAAAAAAAAAACTTTATAAAAAACGTATGCGTAATTTTTATTTCATTCGGTTTTCTAGGCTCCATGCTTTCTCAATATTTTGCCATAATTCTGTTTTTGCGATTTTTTATCGTCCGTATTTCGTGTGTTACAGGTTGGTTGTCTCAATGGACACCCATATGATCTGATCTTAAATTTTCTTTATTTTTGAGGTGAAATGACTATAAAAATACTAATGAGATGTAGATTCGTTTCGTCTTGTTCTTCTGTAAAATCCACGTTGTATTATGTCAAAATCTCTATCGACTTCCTGGTGGTAGAACTAACTCGCACTAAATAGTGCGAACTGTTTCAACCACATCGCATTCGGTTGTGTTTCGGTTGAATGAACACCAACACGAGCAACACAAACTAGGTTTAATCTGGGTACTGCGGAGACGATCGATTTTGTTTTGCAAGCCAATGAAAAACTGCTTGAAAATTTTCTCAAGTTTAAACCTTTTGCTCTTTCTCAGAGTTCAGTCGAAGCACAACCGAAGTTACAGACGACTAACTGGCGAGGAAATAAATTAAAATAATGTGGTTCGCTGTAATAGAATTTTCTTATAAGCTCGTGCCACCAGTCACCAGGGTTGGGCTAGTATCATAGAGGTAACTATAAGACTAGAAGGTACCGAAGAAACGTGTTCAACTTTTTGGCTCAGCTCTGGTACTCTCTTCGGTCCCAATCTAATCGATGCACCCCTCGAAACATAGGAAAACTCACGAACACCTAATTTTATCTGTCTAATTTCCATAGGGAATCAAAACAAACATAGTGTAGTACTAGAATTTCGACTAGAATGGGGTACGTTATTCGATTTGCTTGGCCAATTGTCGCTTTGCATGATCATTGGCAGGCCCCACGTTTCAAAAACCTTTGACAGAGCTGCATTAGTGCACTTTGCATCTATGGATCTTACTTCCACGACTGCCAAGAATCTCGAGTAAGTGTCAATCACAATCATAAATTCACCGGAGCCACATCCGCGCACTGTAAGGAAATCTATCTGCAAGATTTCCCACGGTCCATCAGGAAGAGATCGACTTGAAAGAGGAATCGGAGGGTTTCGTCTCGTAATAATCAAACACGTCTCGCACGATTTAACGAACTGTTCAACTGCACTGCTAATACCAGGCCACCAAAAGTATTCGGGAATAATGTTTTTCATTGCAGCTATGCCCAAATGTCCCTGATGTGTTGATTCCAAGGCGCTGTTCCGTAAGTTTTTTGGAAGTACTATTTTATGGTTTTTGAACACTGTCGATCCCAGGCAGCGAAAGTCGAGTTTATGTGGTTCATATTGGCGCAGAGACCTCGGCCATTTGTTAAATATCATCGCTTGTCGAACTGAAGAGAGCTCATTGTCATTTTCTGAAGCTATTTCAATGTCACTCCAAGAGATATCCATCAAACCTGCATCGAGAGCATAAAGTAGGTGTTTCTCGTCACTCTCATCGAAGGGCGCATCTATTTGTGCTTTGTCGATCAGCCTAGATAAGGCATCCGCCACATTTAAATGGACCGGAACTCGCTTCATTGTAAAATCGAAAGGTTGAAGCCTCAACGCCCATGCTTCAGCCCTAGATATAGCACGTTTGCTAGCCTTTCTTCACTCGCCAAAGATGAATTCATTCGCTACGGAATCGGTCCGAATGGTAAAAGATTTACTCGTTAAATAAAAAGAAAACCTCTCTACTCCCCACACAATGGCCAAAGCCTCCTTTTGAGCCTGCAGGTACTTCTTCTCCGAGTCTGTCAAAGCTTTTGAAGCGCATCAAATAATTCTAGGCATGCCGTCTTGATCGTATTGAACTAATACTGCACCAAGTCCAACGGGAGACGCATCTACAAAAAAATCGACTAGACTAGAAGGTCCCGAAATAACGTGCTCGACTTTTTGGCTCAGCTCTGGTACTCTCTTCGGTCCCAACCTAATCGATTCACCCCTCGAAACATAGGAAAAACCAATAACACCTCATTTTATCTGTCAAACTTTCATAGCAAATCAAAACAAACATTGCGTAGTACTAGCATTTCGACTAGAATGGGGTACGTTAATCGTTTGCTTGGTACCAATAGGCTAGTCAAGTAGTGAGCCAGTTTAAATCGTTAGTTTCGTATTGATTGTTGATATTAGTATATATGTTTCTTGATGGAGGCTTTTCATGATCATACGTAAGAATTACGGGTTCAACATTAAACTTTGGAAATTCGTTAGCGCCAGACATCGAACAAATTTCTCCAGGAAGCGGGTTGAAATCGTTAAATACTTGTATTTATGACGGGTACACCCAGCCCAACTTGAAGGACACAATATCTAATTGCTGTGCTTCTACCCAAAAGGGATTTTGCGTGATCAACCGCGTAAAACTTTTCCACCAATTGAGGTCGATCATCGGAAATGAAAAGTTCTGCGACGAATGTCCCCAGCACTTGGACATCGTGATCAGTAGCGTAAGCTTTTGGCTTATCTGAACCTTGTCTCACGTTAAAAACCTCTGCCTTAAAACGATCGTTGTTCGTCAATTCTCGGAAAATGTCTCTATTGACTGTATTCACCTCCGCCCCCGAATCTATCAAGAATTGAATGGGTAGGCCTGCTATGTAACCCCGAATGTATGTCTCAGAATCAGTACGTCCATGGGATCCAGGTAGACAATTGACAGCTTCCTCCGTTGCCTGAAACAACGGAAGGAAACAAATAATCTTAGGTATTTTCAGATTATTCCATTAAACTTGGTTAAGGAGTTAACCAGCTAACTTCATTACAATAACTACTATTTTATAAAATAGTATTTTGCAATGTTTTATTTATCATCAATTAAAAATCAGTTGAAAAATATAATAACAAAACAAAAAAAAAATCGAATTCACAGGACGTTTTGATATATAAAATAAGGCATTTGAAGTATAAATCAACTATGCTTTAGTCGATTCAGAAAATGTTAGCAAGAATGTTATAAAACTTATTTCGTAGAAGGGAAACTTACGGTTTGTCTCCTCCACTAGCTCTTCCTCCGAAAGCATTGCGACCTTCTTTGGTGCCGGTCCTTCCTGCGGATCATTGTCGATTGTAGACTTGCACTTCTGTGGAACTCTTGATGCAAGTGCATGCTCGTGCGATGTATCCCTTGTGTAGGCAATCTCGACAAACCTTCTCCGATATTGGGCAGCTGGAATGCGGGTGAAATCTGCTGAGACACCACCAGCATGGATTTTGCCTTGTGTTCAAAGTTCCATCTCTGCGAAACAGATCCCGATTTCCGCCTAGCTGTTGATTGTTTGGCAATCTGTCCTGACTTCTGTATGTATTCATGGCTTCGTAGGTCGCACTAGCGCGATCATTCCCAAAACGAGGATTATGATCTCGATTAGATGCCGACGGGTGACCAGTAGAAACAACTGCAACCTGAGCCTGATGAGGATGACGGGACTTGGCGAATAACTCCTCAATTCAAATAACCGATCTCAAAAGCTCGAACTTTCTCCAGTAACTCTGGAATAGTTCCACCTTTCCGAAGAATTTTCCGACCCATTGTACGTACCTTTAAATTCAGAGCATGGCTCTGAATGACATCTGCAACGTTTTCCAAAAACTGATCTCCAGCGAAATTGCACAGCTTTGCAGAGTTAATAACTCGTTGCACGTATTGGAAATGCGTTTCGTTAGCGCTTTGGGTCAGAACGGAGTTTCTGGCGCTGAAGCAAACAATAGTCCCATGATCCGCAATGATCCACCAATCTTTGGATAGCGTTCGAATATGGGGCAACCTCTGCGCTTGGGTTGCTGGGTGAAGACACGGTTGCTTCTAAGATGTCAAGGAGGTTCGTCCCTGCTTTAATCCTGAAGATGCTCATCTTCGTTTCTGCATCCATCGCCCCCACTAGCTTCATCGACGCTTCCAACAAATCTCTCCAGTTTCCAAACGATCTTCTGTCTATTTCGTCTTCGCCGTCAGTTGGTTTACTCTGCTATGTTCAGCGACGCGAATGATAAGTTGGTCATAGTGGCCGAAAGCGATTCATTTCCACCGAATCGAATACCTTCTCTTTTTGCTTTTTCCTTTCTTAGGCTCTGAACCATTTGGTGGATTATTTTAACTTTTGGTTAAAATTTGACAGATGGAAAGTTATCGATTAACCCTGCTATCCGAGCGTGGTTACTTCTGACAGACAAGAAGTTAAATTTTGACAACCTTGGCTAAGTTCTGCTCGAAAACCGGTCGATCGACAGCACGGGGATTTTCGAACATAGAAAATAACTTTCGAAATGTCACTTTTAACCACGAGTTAAATTTAACTCGGCAAATGGTTCACAGCCTTAGGCTCTGAACCATTTGGTGGATTATTTTAACTTTTGGTTAAAATTTGACAGATGGAAAGTTATCGATGAACCCTGCTATCCGAGCATGGTTATTTCTGACAGACAAGAAGTTAAATTTTGACAACCGTGGCTCGAAAACCGGCCGATCGACAGCACGGGGATTTTCGAACATAGCAAATAACTTTCAAAATGTCACTTTTAACCACGAGTTTAATTTAACTCGCCAAATGGTTCACAGCCTTAGTTTCGTTGTCAGCGTCGCGTTTCGTCTTCGCTCTCCACTAGAGATGGCCATTCGCCATTAGTATCCTCTGATGGAGAACTAAAACGATAGCCAAAAAGAATGCCATATTCAAAACACAGCAACAACATTGGCGAGTCTACTTTATGTATGTATATCAGGGGAAATGCAACTTAAATTCAAGACCTATTCCAAGACTGGATTTTTTTTTAAGGTCTAGCGAAAATTCAGGGACACATTTTACCCATAAAAAGGCAGTTGACCCTATCGGATCAGGCGTTTAATAAGACTTCCACTTATTAACTCAACAACCCATTCCAAGACTGGATTTTTTCTTAAAGTCTACTGAGAATTCTACTCAGACACGCATTTTGCCAATACAAGGA